AGATTTACTAAAAAGACTATTAAAACACAAATATTACAAGTTGCAAGAGATAAGGTATTGAAATACAAAGGTAAAGAGATTGTGGTTTTAAAACAAGTGCCCAGAAGAGTGAGAGAGATGAGAAGAGAATATCGATTTTTGACCAAAAAGTTATTGGAAAAAGAGGTGAATTATAGATGGTTGATTCCAGAAGGATTAATGTTTATATGGCAAGAACAGAGACACAGAATTGACTCAATTGAGAAAGCAGAAACATTCTACAATGAATTTTTTGGAAGAAGAGAAATAGAGACAGGAAAAGAGACCATCTCAACTGAACCTCAACAAGTCCAGATGGGAACGGGGAAAGAAGAAGGTGTGGTAGGTGGACAAATGGAGACCAAAGAACATCGTGAAGTAAGATCTACAAGAACTGTTAGACCTAAATACAAGACATAACCATGGAGGAAAAAAAAAATGATTTCTATGAATATAAATGGATTGAATTCAGCTATTAAAAGAAGAAAAATCTTTCATAAATTAGAGAAGTTAAAATTTGATATAATTTGCCTACAAGAAGTACATATTAAAAAACAACATCAACGATTATTGGTACGACGAAAACTGGGGAAAATTTTTACCTCCTTGACTAATTGTAAGAAAAGAGGAGTGGTCCTGTACATTAAAGAAACTAATGCAGCAAAATTGATTTATACTGATGAAGATGGAAGAGTATCAATGGTTGAAATAGTGGATAACAATATAAAAACACTGCTTGTTGCAATTTATGCTCCGAACGATAAACAAGAAGAATTTTATAAAAAGTTACATATGAAATCAAATGGACTGGACCATGTCAATATAATTATGATGGGAGATATTAATGGAATTGTAGATAATAAATTGGACTATACAGCGACAGCATTAAAACAAAATAGAAAGACTCTCCCTAAATCCTTTTTTAAAATGGTAGATGAATTAAATTTAAAAGATATATGGAGAGAAAGAAATGGACAATTATTAAATTTCTAAGTTTAATAATAGTTGTAGAAATGGGAAGAATGAGTCAATGAAACTTGAATACAGTGTTCTTCTCTCTACTACATTGTTCCCTTTCTCTTTCATTCTTTTCCATGTAGCTCCATTCATTTCTTCAAGGCATTTCTTTTAACAATTCAGCTGGGGAGAGAGTGTTCCTGAATGAGAAAGGAGAAGCAACAGATGGATTTGACATCACCAACTTGGTCACTTTTCCAAACAGATCCTTTCAGAGAGTTAGAGTTGGAAAAATGGATCTACTGGCTCCAAAAGGGAATGAATTATGGATTGATGAAGAAGTGATTGTCTGGAGTCAAGCTTTTAATCAGGTATCAAATTAGTGAATCCACCATGCCATAATCTACTATGATCCCATATTGAACACAGTCTCTTTAGAAGTCAAATTTCTTCCAACTGCCCATAAGTATTTTGAAGAGTTATATAAAAAGGAAGAAGTTAACGAAGATAGGATAAAAACTATTTAGATGAAATGAAGGATAAAGCAATTGGGGAAGAAATGGAAGAATTATTAAACAAAGACATTACTTGATTCGAATTGAAATCAGCAATAGAGAACCAGAAAAACAACAAATCCCTGGGACCGGATGGGATCCTGGGGGAGCTGTAAGGGGCAATAGCAGAACAAATAGGACTTCTTATAGTGGAAGTTTTTAATGACGTCCTATTGGCAGCCAGGATGCCAGATTCATGGAGGGGGGCATTGATTTTGCTGATCCTGAAGGAGGATTCAGATCCCCAATATATACAAAATTATAGACCGATTTCATTGTTAAATATTGATTACAAAATATTTACTTCTATTATAGCAAGTAGACTAAAAATAATGTTAAATGAGCATATACATGAAGACCAAAATGGATTTCTCCCGACCAGACAAATCAGGAATAACTTAAGAATAGTATTAGATGTTTTAGAATTTTACAAAGCCCACCCCGAAAAACAAATTGCACGTATGTTTTTAGATGCAGAGAAGGCCTTCGATAATTTAAATTTACAAGTTTTAATCAAAAAAAATATATAATATGAATTTAGGCACCAAATTTGAAAATATTATAACAACCATTTATGATACACAACAGGCTAATATTATAAGAAATGGGGAATATACCCGCCCAATAAAAATAGAAAAAGGAGTCAGACAGGGCTGCTCACTCTCACCCCTGCTCTTCATATTATCACTAGAAGCATTGTTAACGTGAATTAGACAGAACCCTGATATAAAAGGATTAAAGGTTAAGAAAGAAGAATATAAGTTGCAAGCGTTTGCGGATGTATGATATTTTTCATTGAGGAACCAATAGAAAGAGGACAAAAATTGATTAATGAATTAGAACAATTTGGAGCAGTAGCAGGACTAAAAATTAATAGGAAGAAACTGAAATTAATGACTAAAAAATTAACAGAAAAACAGAAATTAGGAGTAGAATAAGTTATGGGACTACAAGTGATAAAGAAAGTTAAATATTTAGGAATATGGTTGACAGCACATTGTAAGACACTTAAGGAAAATAATTGTGATAAATTGATGCAACAGGTAAAGAAGGATTTAGAAACATGGGGCAAGCTGCAACTTTCATTATTAGGCAGGATCGCTGGCACGAAAATAAATATTCTTCCAAAATTCCTCTATATATTTCAGACGATCCCAATCAAAATACACAAAAAATTTTTTTGAAGAACTTAATAAAATAACTAAAATTCATCTGGCAAGGGAAAAAACCTAGAATAAACTTAAAGGCAATGCAGGATATGAAGAGCAGGGCAGGGTTGGCACGTCCAAATTGGGAGTTGTATTATAGTGCTGCCTCTTTGGTATGATTGAAGGAATGGGTGAATTTAACTAATAAGAGAATATTATTCTTAGAAGGCCATGACTTACAGAGGGGGTGGCATGCTTTTTTATGGGATGCTGGGAAAACAAGCCAGTAATATTTTGTTTTAAAAAAAAGTTTTATTGATTTTAACAACAAACAAAAACACATAAAACATAAGACATAAAACATAAAAACATCCTCCTCCTTCATAGATTAAAAATAGTTACAAATACAAAAACTTTTTTTTGTGCATCCATTTCCTAGTCGCCATTATAACTAGCCAGAAATATTTTCACAGACACCTAATCAGAGATTCATTATTGACTAATTGGAAGAAAATACAGAAAAAACACTATTTAAAAATACCAATTTGGATCTCAACAATGGAGGCAATGATTCACCCAAATAATCTGGATATTACTAAGATGATTAAATATAAGGACCCATTGGACACGCAAGAAAATCTGAAATTGTGACAAGAACTTCAAGATTGGGGATTAAAAATTGATCAGTGGGCATATCTTCAAATTCAAAGTAGATATAAACAGGACAAGAAAGAATTTGGAATTAACAATAAACTCCAGCAATTAGATAAAATTTTATTAGGATCAGGCAAAACAAAACAAAACAAAATTTTATAATTATTTATTAGAAGTAGAATTAATTGTAAAGAGAACATGATAGCCTGGAGTAGGAATATAGGATGTAGTATCACCATAACAGAATGGGAAAAGGTCTGGGGTAGAAATAATAAAATTACAAAATTGGTAGCATACAAAGAAAATGCCTATAAAATGTTTTATAGATGGCACTTTCCTCCTTCAAGATTAGCGAAGATGCACCCCAATACGAGTCCAAATTGCTGGAAATGCAAAAAAAAAAAAAAAAAAAAAGAGGGAACTTTCTTCCATATGTGGTGTTCCTGTACAGAAGCTCAAAAATATTGGCAGAAAATTAGAAATTGTTTGGAGGAAATGACAAGAGAACAGATCGAATTCAAACCAGAGTCCTTCCTATCAGGAATCTTTGATAAACAAATACAAAAAAAAGTGAAATATATAATAATACACATTTTGACAGTGGCCAGATTGTCTTTTGCACAATGTTGGGAACAGCCTCATGTTCCATCAGAGGAGATGATTATTCAAAAAATTTCAAGTTGTGCAGAAATGGACAAATTAACCTTGGCATTAAAAAAATAAAGACACTTCAATATATTACAACAGCTGGAACTGCTGGTACAAATGGATAGACCAAAGATAGATTTCACACTAAAAGGCAAAAGAGGATAGCATAGAACCATAGTAGTGATATACAGATATATGTAAGGATTAAGCGTGTATATGGCATAAAATAAGAATAAAAAGGAGGTCTCACAAACTGTTGAAGATGAAAATGTTTTTGATTGTTTTCTATCTTTTTCTTTCTATTTTCTTCTTCCTTTCTTCTTTTCTTTTTCTCTCTTACATTTAAGTATGTGTTGTTGGTTTGTTTTAATTGTAAAATCAATAAAATTTATTTAAAGAAAAGAGGTCTAATTTCTTCTTTTTGATAAACAATGGCATATTCTTTCACATGTTGTTGATGGTCAAGAATTCCTCAAATTGACAAATATGATATTACAATGTGAAGGTCATGGTTGCATATTTGGTGGGCATTTCCATTTGAACTCACAAGAATAGCCATGTTTCCATGAGATTCTCACCATGTGCAATTGTTATTCACCCTACCCTTCAAACAGGACCTTTTGTAAAACATTGTAACTTCTACACCTTTAACTTGTTGATGAATTTGTTAAATTCCCTATCCATTTTAGAAGTTAATAATAATGTCATTGCAATAAGGAGAAAATTCAGAAACTGTTTTAACAATCCTCCTTTTCAAAATATTTTCATGTTTATAATCAGATTCCTCCACTTTCTCAATGTAATGACCCTTGTTTTCCTGGATATTGGAAGAAGGGGATTGAGGGAAATCAGTTCTGCTGCTATGACTGTGTTCCATGCCCAGAAGGGAAGATTTCAGATCAAAATGGTAAGGTGGAAATTCTACCTAACCTACCAGTTTTCATTAAACTTAAGCAAACTTTAATAAACTACTTGATGCATACAAACGATAAGGTGATTTTCAATAATTTGGAATGTCTAGATGACAAATTCCTTGATTTTCCTTCCAGATATGGATGACTGTTTTGAATGTCCAGAAGATCATTATCCAAATAAAGGAAAGAAAGGGTGTATCTTGAAAATGGTTTTGTTTCTAACCTTTGAAGAAACCCTAGGAATTGGTTTATCCTCAGCAGGTCTTTGTTTCTTCTTCTTGACATCTTGGGTACTTGGAACTTTTGTTAAGCACAGGGATACTCCCATTGTCAAAGCCAACAACCGCTCCCTCACCTACACCCTGCTTGTCTCACTGCAGCTCTGTTTTCTGTCTGCTTTGTTCTTTCTCAGTCAGCCTTGTAAAGTGACCTGCCTTTTCCGACAATCAACATTTGGTGTCACTTTCTCAGTGGCCATTTCTAGTGTACTGGCCAAAACCATCACTGTAGTTGTTGCTTTCATGGCCACTAAACCAGGATCTCAGATGAGGAAATGGGTGGGGAAAAGATTGGCCTTTTCTATTGTCCTCTCATGCTCTCTCTTCCAAGTATGTATTTGCATACTTTGGTTGTCAACATCTCCCCCATTCCCTGAGTTGGACAGGTACTCAGAGATTCAAGAAATGATTTTACAGTGCAATGAGGGGTCAGCTTTCTTCTTCTACTGTGTCTTGGGCTACATGGGTATCTTGGCCATTGCCAGCTTTATTGTGGCTTTTTTTGCCCGCAAATTACCTGACAGCTTTAATGAAGCCAAGTTCATCACCTTCAGCATGTTGGCCTTTTGCAGTGTGTGGATCTCCTTCTTTCCATCATATCTGAGCACTAAAGGAAAAGCCATGGTAGCTGTGGAGGTCTTCTCCATCTTGGCCTCTAGTGCTGCATTACTGGGATGCATATTTCTACCAAAGTGCTACATCATTGTTTTCAGACCTGACCTAAATCAAAGAGAGCAACTCATAAAGAAGAATTAATACCCCAAGTATACATATATAAATCTGAAATGGACTGTGTTGTTTTTCTGTGTCATACGGTATAATATACACTATGTTGGAAAATGCATAATTTTGTATGTATGTATTTATTTATTTATTTATTTATTTATTTATTTATTTATATTTATCATTTATGTAGTGTATATTAGAGGTGGGGCAGAGGTGATATTCAGCCAGTTCTGACAGGTTATGGAGATCCAGTAGTGGAAATTTAGTAGTTCTGAGTAGTTCAGAGAACCAGCAAATATCATCTCTGACTGGCCCTGCCCCTATCTATTCTCTGCCTCCCAATTCCCAGCTAATTAGAGTCCTAGCTGATTGGCTGGGTCTTCTTTGTTGCACTGCACAGGAGAACAGAGCTGGAAAGCAGGTTAGCAGGGTGGGGAGGGAATAGGATTTGAGTAATGTTTCCCCAGGAGTGAGGAGGAAATGGAAATGTTATAGTATCCTTCCCCTGCCATGCTTACCAAGCCATGAATATCAAACCATGCCACACCCACCAAGCCATGCCCACAGAACTGGTAGTAAAATTTTTGAATCCCACCACTGAGATGGTGGCCTTTTGAGAGATGTATGCAACACAATTTCATGTTAATGTAGCAATAGCAATAGCACTTAGATTTATATACCACTGCACAATTCTTTTACAGCTCTCTCTAAACAGTTTACAGATTCAACCTTTTGCCCCCAACAATCTGGGTCCTCATTTTACTAGACCCAGAAGGATGGAAAGCTGAGTCACCCTCGAACCTGGTGAGATTTGAACTACTAAATTGCAGACAGCTGGCTGTCAGCAGAAGTAGCCTGCAGTACTGCACTCTAGCCACTGCACCACCGTAGCTCCTTGTGTGATGTATGATGATTAAAGTACATTTAAAATGACAGGTCTATGTCAAAGTTGCTACATTTTTACCATTTTTCAAGATTTTTTTTCATAAACCACTACTTAAATGTAGTAAAAAGCTAATTACCATTTTATGAATATATATTTGAAATAGTATTATAGGATATCAGTTTTGAATTTGTTAGGCTTCTCCAAAATGAAAACCTGTTGAGTTTGTGAATCCCATACATTTAACTGCATTTTACAATAGACTTTCATGCTGGGTCATAACCATTTGCTCTTGGTCCATAAATCTATCTTCATTGCAACCTGTTTTCAGATTTGAGTAATATGGAATATTTGATGAAATTAAATATATTCTTCCTTCGGTTTCATCCATTATTCAAAGTTGTGGTGACCAAACATTATAATAAAGAGTTATTTGAATTTGTTTGGAATTAGAAATCTGGCATTTTTTCAATAAAAGCAAAGTGAAATCCAGTGCAAATCACAGGAAAAAAATGTGTACTTCTCACTGATAGAGGGAGGGATGATAAAGATGAAAATATGTGGAAAAATATGAGTGTGCCCCTACATGGAGATGCTTGATAAGTACATAGGTATGTAGTAGTAATGGAGAGATGGAGAGAAAGAGAGATTGAGAGACAGAGATGCAGAGTGTCTATGAACTGGACAAATGGCCTAAATTAATAAAAGTGCAATTCTCATTGCAGTTAAAGTCAATGTTATAAATATGACTCAAAGTTCAGCAAAGTACAGTCTAGATCTCAATATTTAACAGAATAACAGAGTTGGAAGGGATTGTGGAGGTCTTCTAGTTCAACCCTTTGCCAAAGAAGGAGAGTCTATGACATTCCAGACAATTGCCTGTCCAATCTCTCCTTATAAGCTGCCAATGCTAGAGCTCAAAACTTCTTAAGGCAAGCATTTGCAATGTTCACTTGTCCTCACTGTCAAGAAATTTCTCCATAGTTCTACCTTGGGTGTCTCATTAATAAGTTTCCATCCATTACTTATGATTAAGGAAACTTAATTTCATGGTCACTAAACCAGGAACTCAGATAAGAAGACTGGTGTGGAAAGATTGGCTCTTTCTATTGTCCTTTCCTGCTGCCTTTTTCAAGTATGTATTTGCAGTCTTTGGTTGTTGATATTTTCCCCATTCTCTGAATTGGATATGCACTCAAAGCTCCAAGAAATGATTTTACAGTGCAATAAGGGACCAGCCCTCTTCTTCTACTGTGCCTTGGGCTACATGGGTATCGTGGCCATTGCTAGCTTTATTCAGGCTTTCCTTGCCCATAAATTACCTGACAGCTTTAACGAAGCCAAGTTCATCACCTTCAGTATGTTGGCCTTTTGCAGTGTGTGGATCTCTTTCTTTCCAGCCTATCTGAGCACAAAAGCAAAAGCCATGGTAGCTTTGGAGGTCTTCTCCATCTTGGTTTCCAGTGCTGCATTATTGGAATAAATAGAAAGACTATTTGCTGTCCACAGGAAATATACAGTATATAAAACTTTTAAAACCTAGAAGGTTTTTTTTGTTAAATAACAATTTACATAGGATAATTTTTATTATTATTAAGATTTATTATGATTACACATTCCAAAAGAAGTGCTGGTGTTGCTTCATTTTTGTCATTTTGCAAGAGTCTAACCTATCTTTTCTCCTTTTCAATGCTCTTGTTGAAATTGATTATGATAATCTTGCTTTTTTGGCTCTTGTTAGGATACAGAATAGAATAGAATTACAGAGTTGAAAGGGACCTTGGAGGTCTTCTAGAATCTAGTCCAACCCCCTGCCTAGGCAGGAAACCCCTCACCTCTTCAGACAAATGGTTGTCCAATCTCTTCTTCCAGTGTTGGAGCATTCACAACTTCTGGAGGCAGGTCGTTCCACTGATTAATTGTTCTAACTGTCAGGATATTTCTCCTTAGTTCTAGGTTGCTTTTCTCCTTGATTATTTCCACCTATTGCTTTGTGTCCTGCCCCCAGGTGCTTTGGAGAATAACTTGACTCCCTCTTCTTTGTGGTAACCCCTGAGATATTGGGATACTGCTATAAGGTGTCTCCTAGTCCTTCTTTTCATTAAACTGGACATATCCAGTTTCTGCCATTGTTCTTCATATGTTTTATCCTCCCTTCCCCTAATCATCTTTGTTGTTCTTCTTTGCTCTCTTTCTAGAGTCTCAACATCTTTTTTACATCATGGTAACCAAAACTGAATGCAATATTCCAAGTGTGGCTTTACCAAGGCATTATAAAGTACTATACCTGGATATAAACAAAACCATACTTCCCATTGCACTTTGAACCAATTGGAGTATCTGGGTACTTTTTTTTCTTTTTTTCAAAGTAAATTTTGATTAATCATATTTCAAACTAAAACACCACATTTACACACATTACAGCGTTCAGGTGATAGTATTCACTCACATTGACGAAATTGTTACTATTCTATATATTGTATAGTTTTTCTACTTTTAACTTATAGCAGTATTTACAAGTATATATACAATATTTCTCCTTTTTATTATAACTCCCACATATTCTTCATATAACAACTTTATGTCTGTTCTCTAACCACTGGTACCATACATTCCAGATCTTATAGTATTCTGTTTCTTCTCTTTCTTTTAACTTCATAGTTAACCTGTCCATCTCTGCACATTCAAGAACCTTTCTTATTATCATTATGTGAGAAGGAATGCCATCTTATTTCCAAATGTGGAGCTGGCTGCTGTTATATGTATCATAATGTATTGCAGGTTTTTTTACAGATATTTTGTCTGAATAAGCCCAATAAAAATAATTTTGGTTTCATCTCAATGTTTTGTTTAGTAATTTCTTCTAACCAATTTTTTATTTTAAAGCCAGTATTTCCTAGCTTTTGGACAGGTCCAGGACATGTGAAAGTAAGTTCCTTGCTTATAGTTCCTTACTTATAACATTTCTCTGATCTTTTTGGAAACATTTTGGCCAATCTTGCTGGGAGTAAATGCCAATGGTAAAACATTTTGTACATATTTTCTTGGTAGGCTGCTGACATTTGTAATTTGTAATTAATTTGTTAATTTGTAATTTTTCTCCTACAGTATTTCCCAGTGTTCCAATTCAATTCCATACTCAAAGTTTTTGCCCCATATTATCATAGTCTCCTTTACTGTTCCTTCCTCCATTTTATATCTTAACAGATAACAGATAATCAGAGTAGGAAGGGATCTTGTAAGTCATCTAATCCAAGCAGGAGACCCTACATCATTTCTGACAAATGGCAGTCCAATCTCTTCTTGAAAGTCTCACATGATAACTCTCCCACAACTTCCGAGGGCAAACTGTTGGTTGATTGTTCTTACTGTCAGAAATCTTAAAAGATAGTTATATGTTTTAGTAATCATTTTCCCCCATCTCCTCTAATATTTTATCTAATTCCTGTTTGTCTTTAAAGAAGCCATGTTTTTCTAAGTATTTTTGTACCTTATTTGAATTTGTAAAAAAGACCACCAAACTATCTCAATTCCTTTAACTCCTGATTTGATTTTAATTGTCCTTTCTCATCCAATAGCTCTTTGTATTTTACTACCTCATTTAATCTAAATCTCAGGGTATATCATTGCCTCCATAGCCAATAGCCAAATTGGGATTTTCATATAGTGGTTCTTCTTAATTTTATCCCATATGTAGCAGGGCATTCCTCACTTGATATCTCTGACAATATGAGAGTAATTTGTTTTTCTCCTCCCAAATGAATGTGTGCCAACCAAGTTGCAAATCTTGACCCATCTGGGTACTTTTCAATGACAGCTCTATGTTTTCCCCTATATAGACTCGTTATTATTAATTGGTGCATTGGGGTCCCACATAGTTAATCCCTTTTATGAATTGAAACAAAGGAACATCATTGTATAAAACCAAAAATATCCCATTGTAAAGGGTTTTTTTGGTCATTTTATAATCTTAGCTAATTTCCCCAAATTTACCAACTTTACCAAATATAAGAAGCAGACCAGAAGATCCATTGCAGTAACTGGCAGAACAGCCAAAAGAGGGAACAACCAAGTTCCCAGGTAATTACACAGATATTCCAGATGTTTTTGAACTTTAATACAGACCTGGGCTCAGAGGGGATGGGGAATAAAATACCCAGTAA